TACTATAAATCAATTGCTATTACCTTGGTAGCTACAGGGATTATTTCATCTTTAAATCTACCAGCAGCTGTAGCAGCAGCAGCCTTCCTGTGAGACTCAACCTGTACATATAACCCGTGAAAATGTAAATAAATTGTTGATGCAAAGAAGCATTAGCTGTAGATGTCATTTTTTATACTCACGGCAGCTTGATCTTGCTCCTGCCTTGTGACGCCAAAACGGTGTGCGACATTTTCAGAAGTTACACCCATCGGGAGCAGGCAATTTTGAGCTTGAGCAAAGCTCTTGACCTGGTGTCATTTCAGAAGAGAGAATGAGCCCACAAAACTAATCCATGAAACTGGACGATAGAGCAAAAAACAGTTCGGCATACTGGACCAAACATGCTTTGTGCCCATGCTTGTGCATGCATGAGTCTGTACGAGTGCGAGAGAGAGAGAGAGAGAGAGAGAGAGTACCTTTGGGTTGACTGATCCTTCCCAAGCCATTGGATTGACTGTCATAGATTCAATCCCTGCCCCAATGCCTGCAAACAAGGGTATATGATAAATCAGGATCACAACAGCCACAAAAAAACACAAGTTTCTCATAAAGCATGTTCAACATACCAACATCATAAAATCCTGCTTTTATAGCTGCAGCTACATCAGCAACTGCTTGAAGCCCAGATGAACATTGTCTGTTGACAGTTCTAACAGGCACGGTTTCTGTACCCATTCAACCAACAGAGAAAAAGTCAACCAAAAGAGCTAAAGATGAATGAAAGGAAGAACGATTGACAATGAATATCGCAGCGGCGACGCCAACACCATAAACCATAAACCAAAGATGCATTAAATAAAAATTACCAGGGAAACCAGCGTAGAATGCAGCCATTCTGCATTCACTTGCTCTTTGTGAACCAGGTGCCAATACTGTGCCCACAACAATATCTCCAACTTCACTTGGATTTATCTTTGTTTTTTCAATCAATGCCTGCATCGATGACAGTTCAAATATTTATTTATGACTTTCAAAAAAGGCACGAATACTCTTAGTTTAAGAGTGATTAATTTACAGCAAAGACCGTGGCACTTTAAAAAAAAAATGAAACACATGGTTGGCATCCAAGTTTTTTCTGGAATGAATTTCAGCTGTTTGGATCTTCCTTTGACATTATTTGTCACATCCTAGAGGATCATTTGAGACTCTAAATTACCAATTAAATGAGAGAACAGTCACCATCCATTCAAACTAGGGGTTGTCAAAAGTGTACCTTCAACTATACATTCACGCATCTCCAAAATAAGTCCAGCAATCACATGAGCCAGGGGAAATGACTTACCCTCAGAACAGGCGCAAGCAGATCATCTGGGTACGTGTCCTTGAACCCGCCGCGCTTCGCTTTGCAGATTGCTGTCCTATATGCACTGTAGAAGAATTACAGGTCGTCGTCAGCAAGGAACACACACAACATAAAAAGAACCAAGTTGCATCAGTTAAAAAACAACAATACTTACGCTACTATCACTATGTCGTCCCCAAAGCCAGCGGATCTTTGATACGCCGCGCTATCACCTGCCGAACATATAGATACCTACAATTCCAATCCCAAAAAAAAAAACCCAAAGGAAAACCCAAAAAAGACCGAAAAATTCGTAAGGACGCCAACAAGAAGAAAAATGATAATCATCCCAGTCAAGGAAAAACTAAAATTAGCACGACAGACATCACTACACCGTCATAAAGGAAACAGCATATCTTCGACATATTTTCCGAGCCGAATTAAAACTCTACGCACCGATCTACAGCTCAAAATTCGATCTTTGTCTTGAATTGTGCAAAATCAGCAATACCCAGAAAGCAAAATCGAAAGCCGGCTGGCCTCACGAGCCAGCGACACCAGAAACACAAGCACGGGAAGAGCTCCAAAGGATCGGGAGAAAACAACAACAACAACACACAGGCCAGAGGAAGCAAAGCAAACCGCGATCCCAAGCGAAAACCAGAGGACGACGACGACGACGGCGGCGGCGGAGCCACAGGGAGGCGCAAAATCAACAGAAATCGGGCTATTCAAACCAAGACACAACTAATTCGGAGCCGACCGCACGGCTTAGACAGGACTCCTCGAACCACTCGCGATCGGATCGAACGGGAGCGCGAAGAGCTCGGGATTCCGCAACCGAACGAGGCGAAACCAAATGCAAAAAAAAGGAAAGGAGGAGGAGGAGGAGGAGCAGCAGCAGCAGCGAGGACTCCAGGGACTCACGGAGAGCGAAGATTCATCGCCATGAACAGAAGAAGGAGGAGGAGGAGGGCGGAGGTGTTGGAGGAGAACTCGCTGCCTCTCGATCGCCTTCTCCATCTCTCTCTCTCTCTCTCTCTCTCTCTAGAAGATTTTCAGCTGTGTGCAGTACCTTGCGTGCAGAGGATGAGAGATCGGAGAAGACGCGAAGAGGGACGACGCCTCGTTATATATAGTGCTCGGAAATTTTGTATTTTAAAATTGATCCTCCCACTATATTTATTTCGCGAGAAATGAATGATTTAAAAAACATAAAAACGAATGGATAATAAAAATATTTAAGGCATAAATTATTATCGCCATTGAAAACATTTTCCTAAAAACGATCGGCTTACTAATTCGAGCGTGCGAAATGAGCGGTTTGTAATCGAGTCGATCGGAGGAGGACCGGCCCGTCGTCGGCCGCGGCTCAACCGATCGGACCTGTCCTTGTAATCGGACTTCGAGCTGGTAGGCGAGCCCCGTATGTTATCTCTTTTCCCCCAATACTTACAGCGTACCTGTAAGTGCCCACTGAATCTTAGGATCGCGACTGCTTTTTCGAGATTGATCCGTCCGGCTTTGAGCGGTATGGCCTTTACATGATGTTTCGTGAAAAACACTGCCCGGCACAATAATACCGAAAACAATAATAGTTACATCAAAAGAATTATAAGTTTCGTTTGTTTCGTTAAAAATGAATAATTTGGAATACATTTTCCTAAAAATGATCGTTTATATCTCTTTTAAAAATTAATGAACGAAAATTACTTTCATCGTCCACAAAAATATTTAGACATAAATTATTTATGATAATGAAAACATTTTTACAGGCTACATATTTCAAGCGACGATGAGCGATCATATTTAGGATCATTCATTTTCCACAAAATAAACGAAACTTCAATCTATCACCCCAAGCTGACCACGAAACCCTAAAAGGAAAAAAGCACAAGAAATCATTTGTTTCGGTGAAAATGAATTAACTGAAAAAGTTTTCCTAAAAATGATCAATTGTATCATTTAAAATAATTAGTTAATGAATATGCTATCATTATCGATAATAATTATATTTGAATGATGAATATACCGTTCATTAATTCATATCCGTAAGTAATACTAGAGCGATTATTCAAAGAAACGCATTTTCTAAATGTATCGTTTTCAGCTAAAAAGCTGTACTTTATTTGTATTTTTATTTTTCTGTACAATCCGGGGAATCATTCCATTTAATATTCTTTGTTTTACAAAATGAATAGATAATGACAAAGTAATATTAAATAATAATAATAATAATAATAATAATAATAAATAATAAATAAATGGTGAGGACAAGAGGTGACGGGGGAGGAGTCAGGGATTGGCGGTGATATGCCTGCCTGTTAATGGCAAATGGACGATGATAATGATGGGTATGACGTGGCAAGTTGCTTCACCTCCTCTTTCTTTTGCGCCCCCGCCCCCCCCCCTCCCCCCACTCGCCTCGGAGCGCGTGGTCTCCACGAAAAGAACTGACTGGTTTGGACCGGATCGCGGCCGGTTTTGAGCGGTTCCGAAGGCACCGGTCCGACTTCCGGGATCCATAAAATTGAAATTAAGGAATTTCGGCCTGGTTCCCGGGTGTCGAGTGTGGAGCCGCCCATCCGAACCGGATCAATTTCTTTTAGTCCGTAAAAAAGAAAACCCTAATCTATCTCTCATTTCACAAGGGAAGGCTCTTTAAGACTGTAGCGACTAGGTCTACTTATGCACGTGATTTAAAATGACAAGAACAAATCAAAACATAAAATCGAATCTTGCCACGAATTGAAAAAATCTCTATGGAACTTACAATGTCACTGATTGTAGAAACCTCTTGATTTTCAGTTTCGTCTGGAACATTAACAGCAAATAAAAAAAAATTTAAACATGTCATTAATTCCATCGGACCACCCTTGAGCCGTACTCGACCAGTTGGTTCGATTCCGATGGACACCGTTATAGCTCCCGGCTCCAGAAATTGGGAACCGGCTCCTCTGATTTGATTCCTGATTTTTGAGCGAAACTAATCACTCCTTATTTTCGCTACGCAATCTTTCGAAATATACAAATCCCTTTTTTTTTGAAAATTTTTATCCATTTTCGAGGTAAATCCACGTTGATATTGGGATGCGCCTATCTCCTTATTGTGATTATCTTCGCTTTATAATTATTATTTTTTTATGCTAATCACAACAAAAAAATTTATTTATCTATCAAGAAATTTGTCTATATTTTATACATCGAGAGAACGCCTTTTTCAGAAAAAGAGAGACGCACGCGCCTCGGTTCGCGTGGTGATTTCGTGGGGGGGACTACGAAGTTAGCTAAGCTTGGAATGCGTGCCTCAATTTTCTACGCCCTTTTTTTTTATTTATTATTAATTATTTTTTATCAATATTTTTCTCTACTTTCCTTAATTTCTCCATTTTTTTTTCTTGCCGAAAAATTGCCGGCAGGAATCAAGGTCCCAAGATAATGTTGAAGGCACGCATGGTAGCGTCAATGCGCCTTACAAAAAGGACCATAATGCCCTCAAAGGCATCGATAATAACTAAAAATGACGCATCGCGCGGCGGCACCGGACCCGGCTCGTGTGATCAGGTGACCAAGCCGAGCCGAGCTGAGCCAATCCGGGTCGGGCCAAGACGGTCCCTCGTGCGAATCAGGTCCATCGAGACAAGGCCCGGGACAAGGAACCAAACTTGTTGTGGCGCGCTAAGCAATCTTGAACCTATTGAATATGTCCGAAACATCAAACCCCACCACCTCCTAGAATGCAATGCACAATCGTACGTCGACTCTTCTTCTTCTTCTTCTTCTTCTTCTTCTTCTTTCTTCTTGTGCTGCGAACATTCGCTAATGGACTCTATGTATTTACAGAAACATAGTACGAGAAGACTTCGATGGCGATCAGTACTTGGGCTTGTTGTCGGAGTATCGCTTGGTCTGGAGCGTCTTCAACATGGTCTGCAGCCTCATGGTGATCTGCGTGAACGATGGCCGGCTCGAGGGATCGGCCGACCAGCACTCCTCCATCAGTTCCCGCCACTCCGGATCGCACCGCTCCGGTATAGGCGGCCTCAGCGTGTTGCTCACGATGCCCCCTTCGTGAAAATAATCGAAGAAAATGGAAAAGGATCAGTCATTTTTAATGGTATTTAATCAAGAATGAGAGCTGCAGGCATTTTCCAGAAGATCACACCTATGATTGCACCACAATGCATGTTGGCATAAGGTTCTTCGCCGGTCAACATCTCCCACATTGCGATCCCGAATGAGAAGATATCCACCTGAGAGGCACCGCATTGTGTCACAAGTCTTGATTAATCATGTTATGTTATATGATGATCATGATTAATTATCGCTAACCTTCTCGGAGACGCGGTTGTTAGTACCGTTCAAGAGCTCGGGCGCCATCCAGGGGAGCGTACCCCGGATTCCCCCCGACACGAACGTGTTCTGTTTGATTCTCGACAAGCCGAAATCTGCCACCTTCGCCAGAAGAAGAAAGAGATTTCAGACTTCCTTCCAAACCGTTCGTTAAGTTATGCGATTAACAGCGTGATCATGCAAGTAGATTCGAGTTGAAGGCTTCATCATGCATGTACCTTGCAAATCGGTCGACGGGGATCCTTCAAATTGACGAGCAGATTGTCGCACTTCAAGTCGAAATGGACGATGTTCTTGAAATGCAGATACTCCATCCCGAAGGCCGCGTCCATCGCTATCATGAGCTTTTTGCGACGGTCCAAAGCTCTGCAAGATAGGTAGTTTTATTACTCGGTACGTCCAGGCTCTCAAGTATTTAAAATGCGCTTCCTCATTTTCGTAACATGAACTGAATTGAGATTAACAAGACTACAGAATGAGAAAACTGACCTGTTGTTTCTGACTAGATTATGTCTAAGCGAGCCGTTAACCATGAACTCGGCCACCGTCGCCAATGTCCCACCGGGACCATCAGGAACAACTCCATAAAAGGCCACGACGTTGGGATGATGAAGATTCGACAAGATCTTTGCCTCTCTCCAGAAATCTTTTGTCTGTAAGTAGTTAATGTCATTAGGAATGGTTTTTCTTGAAACGGAAAGAGATTAAACATGATATCTACTTTGTTTAGGACCTTTTAATCCAGGAAAAAGAAACTTCACCGAAAGTCCTAAATTTAAAACTTGATGCATGGAATGTTGTTGTGAATTTTGAAATCGTCGCATGGTAAAGACGGAGAAGTTGATTTCCCTATCATATTGTCGCAAACGTGTCAGATTGATCAAAAAATTGCTTCATCAACACTATCAGATAATTTCCTGTTGTTATTTGGAATGATTTTTTGTGTCGTGAAACGATCGTCATGTGAGTCAAATTACATGAGCACTAATTTCATATTTGCAACTATGCAGCTCCGAGACTTACCATGCGCTCTTGCTCAGACGATCTTCCTGCAAAACAACTGTTCTTGATTCTTTTGATGGCAACATCTGTCCCTCTCCATTTGCCATGATAAACTGTCCCGAATGTGCCAGATCCTAATTCTTGTAGTTCTTCCAGGTCGGCGTTCTTTATGATCTACAACAAGAACACACCACATTTAACCACACGAATGTCGTTTCTATGCTAAAGCAAGTATAAAACGAGAGAGACAAATCGAATAGTGCACAGGGTGAATATCAACTATTGCCCTGTCAAATCTAGGTTGACATGATGATTTAACGAAAAAGTTTGGAAGTCTATCGCGGTAGATATGACATCAACATTGTTTAAGGTTTAGCATAATAAAAAAAGTGCTACCCGTTTTAGTCCACGAATAATAGAGAGCGATTTTGCAAGGGAAATTCATTAGAACCTGCAAACCGTAGATGCCGGCTTCGATTTCAGCTATCGCTGCATCAGATATGGGGTCATCTGCATCATGGCCTTCGCTTTTAACATCCTGGAGAGCATAAAGCGAGAAAGAAATTTAACAACCATCATGACGTACTCAATCAGACATTTAGCGAGGACTCGAATCGAATTGTGGTACCTCATAGTCTGTATCAGCAGCAATGCTTTCGCCTTCTGTTTCTCTAGCAGATGAGATGCTATCGCTAGGGTCATCCTGTATATGCGCCACTATCCTTGAGGAAATGGGGATGTCGAGAGGCGTATTCTCAGTTACATCTTCAACGATCACTGGTATTGGCTGGACAATGTTCTGATGATTTTCTTCGTATAGAGGCAATACATTTACAGGCTTCAATCCCTTATCGAATCCAGCCTCAGAGCTGACTTCTCCAGCACCGTCCAACAAACCTTCTTCATGGGATTTTCTCTCTTTGCATGAAGTACTAGGCTGAAGATTTTCAGAAAAAGGGAAGATGTAAGTACAGAGAATACTAGTGAAATTTGAGTTGATTTCATGATTCATTTGGGGGGAGTCATACATACAGAGACTGAAGATGCAGCGATTTCAGGAACTTGCTTAAGTGATCCTTGAGTCCACGCGGGATTCTGTCCATGCTGATCTTTGAAAGGTGATTTGATACATACCATTCGTTTCACGTCTTCATGAGGCGCGACGCTATATTTTTGGCTCTCGGAGGAAACGTTTACTTCAATGTTGGAACTTGCCTTGTGCTCTTGTAGCATATTCGCGCAATCTTCGTCGACAATGACTACTAAAACAGATGTCAATTTGGGAAACTAAGAAAGTTCACATAGAATTTCACAATGTTATAAGACATATTCAATCAAACTTCACCTGTAAATTGTTTCTTCTCTTGAAGGGAATTGGAATCTTTGTCGTCTTGCCACTCCAGTACATTTTGGTCCCTGATCACTCGCACCTCCTCATTCGAGCGCAAACCAGATGTGCTTTCCTGATATTTTGCAGCAGTTAGATCCTGTGACTTCATCTTCCATTCGCGCGAAGAATGGCTCGAAGTTGCCAGCAAAGGGACCTTCTCTGCCGAAAAATTCGATGAACATGAAATTGTGCCTTCCTCTGTAGAATGCGTCGATCCCCTGTTAAGTCCTTGCAACTGCGAGTCCGATAATGCGTGCATCATTCCGTAATGAGGGCCGTCTTGTTCGGGAGATCCCAGAAGCTGACACGCCGGGCCTTCAGGACGAGTTGCGAGTTTATCTGAATGATACACCCTCTCCTTGAGTATAGGCCTACTGAAATTGATGTCGAACAGACCGTAGCACGACGCTGGCACGAAATTTTCCGACATGTTCTGATCATGAACATGAATGCCACTTTGTCTATATATTTGTTCAGCATCAAACAAGTTCGCTATTTGCGAGTCAAACAGTTGAAGAGGCTGAGTAGATGTAGGATTTTGATGATTGGTAATGTCGTAATAGTAGGACTTATCACTAAGATACTTGTCCGGAATAAAATGCCTATTGCTTTCATTCACATGACTGTGATCCGTAAGATCCCTCTTCTGTAATGGCACCGGAGTCATCGGGGGAGAATAATCAAGAAGATTGCTGGAGATCTGTCTCGTCATCAATAATTGAGCAGAAGGATTCGAACTTGTTCTTGCCAAATTCAAGTAATTCGGGCTATAATCGTTGATTTCTAGAGCTTGAGCGAACGTCGGGGAGTCTCTAAGATAACTCGGGCTGTTGTCTGAGGACACCGTGCCCTGATGCATTACGTGGCTCGACGGAGTCTGTCCTCTTGCGCTCTTTTGCGGGCTCCGATCCAATATCCCGTTAACGGCGACGACATATTGATAATCGACATCTTGCTGCTCGGCCGCTAATCTAGCTTCGAAGGAATTCGGGCTCTCTATCTCGGTCAAGGGGACAAGAAATATGCGGAGTCTCTGACAAGTACCAACTTTTTCGAGCTCCTGATATTCCTCTATCATATGATGTAGGTCCTCGTAGGAACAAACCGATATCAGCGCGTCGAGATCCTCACCAGGGAGTTGATATTTGATGGTGTGAGGCTGGTTGCAGATCGCTGAGGTCTTCTTCACGAGCTCCTCCCAAGAGAGGTTCTTCCTTATCGATATGATGCGGGTTTCGCCGCCGACGTACCGAAGCTTCCCGTCGCTAGGCCTTGGAAAGATTCGTCCACCATAGCTACAAAGGAACTTCATCTTGCAATGGGAAGAGCCTTGCGCCATGATTCCTAGTCCATGATGATAGTACGATTGAGGAGACCCTGAGGAATACAGCGGATCCATGGCGCCTCGAGTATGCGCGGCTTCATCGTAATGTGCATTGGACCTTTGCCCGAAGAAATCGTATTCTCCCTGAGGCCTTGCTCCATAATCCAAATGAGTGGGGCTCTCCATGTATGGACCCGGCATAGGTTTAGCCAAAACATTGGAGAAATCCGAGTTGCCGTACGAATTCCCTCTCGCGTGCCGGAGCGGGCCGCTCGCTTCCTCGCAAACCACATGTTGATCCTTCAAGAAATTGAAGCTCGGACTCTGTGGCAGGAAATGATCTGCGTTAGGTATCACGTGGATTCTCCGGACGCCCATCCGATCCCTTAAGAACTCGACCGAGAACTCTTCACCGGTCTGAGAACATATGTCACCGAAGTTCTCGTCGGCTCTGCCAATCCTGAATTTCTCGCTCGAATCTTCCCTAGCCTCGTTCATCATGGTCTCAACTGGACCCTCGTCTGCTTTTCGACCCGCATAAACATTCTCCGACACCCTTACTATTCGACGCTCATCAAGTATAAAAAATCACGCCAATGAATCCTTCCTCAAGCACTCTACCAGACGAGCCATATCGCTATGCAAGTAACCTTCGAAACGCCGCCGGCATCACCCTTCGGCCGTTGGGAAAACCGATGCTCACGAACCTCGCAGATGTCGATCCTCGGGATAAGAAGAACCAAAGAATGGCAAAGTATTTACTGATGAGATCGTCAATCTAGGACAAGGGGAGTAACATAAGGAAACGGGTATCAGCTGAAATATTAAAAAATAAAAAAGCATCACCAATGATCAGCAGAAACGATACAAAAGCACCAGGGAATGATACCCACTTGCTCATTCAAGTTCTTGCCATTGGAATCCCAGGATAGTCTGCGGAAGAAATCTGAGAGACAAGAAAAGGATAGAGATGGTGGAATTCCGAATGAGTAATGCGCAGAGAGAGAGAGAGAGAGAGAGAGAGAGAGAGAGAGAGAGAGAGAGAGAGAGAGAGAGAGGGAGGGGCAAAATGGAGTGGCTGCGAGAAGAGCAGTCTCAGAATAGTTCGGCAACAAAGTAGGAAAGAGAGGGAAGGATATAGCCTCTGGACCTAAACTGCAAGACGAACATTTGAAAGTGAACGCATGCACGCGACGGGACAGAGCCCCTCTCCCGATCCTCTCACAGAATCACTCTGATGTCTGCATGCATGATCTATCCTTGTGATTCAGGACGATTCATTGTCGATCGATCGCATATTTTCGATACAAGTCGAAATTGTAGCGCGCCATAAAACGATGCACAGGGCTCGATTATGTGCGACCGTATTATCCTTAAAGGGTCGTTACGTTCCCTTCTAGTTCTGGATAGTTTAGTTGCTTTCTAGACATATGAAAAAAAATTAAACGTAATTGAATAAACGGTCGAATTAACGACTACGGATAAGAATAGTAAAATTTAATTAATATATATATCTTTGGAGAAAAATGAAACCACGGATTCCACTTCTCTTTATAATTTCTTCACTCTACTTCTAGATGGTTTGTCATTACATTGTTTCTCCCTAGCTTCCAATTTCAGTTTGCACAATCGGACGTATCACACCCCAAAGTGCAACCAATCTTATTTCTTGGCGGTCCACCAATCTTTAAATGGTGCACAATGAAGTTTTTCGTGAAGAACGAATATATTAATATAATGTACTACGGAATATAATCAATATTTGACCCAAAAAAATATAACCGGTAAGGTACCGCTAAATATAACCGATCTAACTTTAAATCGACCCACCTAAATTTTGATTCATGAGACGGCTGTTATATGGTCCATAAGGATAATGGAGTACTTCATGAAGGAGGAATTCATTAAGGTGGAATTCGCCTAGGAAAAGAAAGGCATTCTCCCTGAGGATCATTGCTCCCCTTTCCAGTTGTCGCGTTTAATACCTAGTCTTTCTTGACTTGGGTCCGTTTATTTGAAGAAAATCTGCTTCTAGAAAATTATTTTCCGACTTTTCGGTATTTGCATTACAAAAAGCTAATCGATCCAAGAAAAATGTTTTTCTTAGATTAAGGAAAAACTTCACTTCTAGTAAAAAGGACATCACTTTGCTTAAATCACTAAATAAATAAAAACTAACCATTTATCTTGAAAATGATTTCTATGGAAAATATTTTCCTTCGTCAAGAAATTTTAAATCAAACAAACGCACCTTTAGAGAAAAATTAAAAATTAGACACCGGCCCAAAGAAAACGAACCGGTAATGCAGTGCCAAACGGAGATTTAAGAATTAAAGAGCGGAAAATGGGTGCATAATCAAGTTGATTGAAGAGAAAGGGATCATATAAGTTAATCATCAAAGGAATTTGGGCTAGAAGGTAATGCTTGCCGTATATCATGTCTTAAAGAACTAATCTAATGTTAGTGCTTGAACTCCTTCAAAACTGATGTGGATGTGTTGAAATCACTGAAGGTGTAATCTACAGAGAGAGAGAGAGAGCAAATTTATACATCAGCTTCAGCATGTCTACATTGTCTAGTGTTAGTATTGTTCGATATACAAGTGGCCACTTCTCCACAAGGCAGCATATTCTCCTCAGTTATGTGTTACCTGTGACTTCTTTCACACTCAAATTTACAAGAGCATGAACATCGTAAGCTGTTCGAGAAGGAAGCAAACTCAGGCCACAAAAGTCCAACGAACCACATGGTTTAAATAGCCAAAGTCGAAATAAAAGTGTCTACAACAACCCAACATGTTCATTAGTTCCATGTTTCCACGAGATGGAAACATGTCCACCACCAACCAATCCCTCATGCTCCCCACAAATGAAAAGAACACCAAACCCGGGTCCAAATACACCATACCAACAAATGCTCCAGAGAAAACTACACACAAATGCTCCATATGGAGAAGGAATCGGCACTAAGAATGTCCAAACAATTGAGTTGGCTGCACATAGGCAGATATCGGGTGGAGATCCATTGTCTACCTAAATGAATCGGGGCGCTTTGGCTTGCTTTGAACGACGGCTTCGATCTTTTCCATCACAGCAGGAGTCAGTAAGGGGATGACATCAATAGCCTTCATGTTCTCTTGAATCTGAAAGAGCACAGGCAGCATGATTAACCATGTAAAGGATATACGATGACTTCTGAATTTTCTAAGGGAAGCAATCAGGAAGACTATGACTGAATTATACTGTTCAAAATTCAGTCTGTTGCACATTACATACTAAATGTACAGATCTAAAGCAACCTCACATTGATGGCCCCAACAGAAAAATGCGGATGCCCATAAATTGAGCATACTATCTTCAAAATATATTTGTCAGGATATTCAAAGTACTCCATCTACTCAGATAGAGAAAAAATTCGCAGATCATATCTTAGTTTAACTTTATAGGGGCTCCTTTTGGAGGAACTTTATTGGCACTGGATAATTGTGCAGATAGTAACTCTTCTGGACTGACCTATTCATGTATCACTTTAACAAGCAGCAAGAACTGCCTTCTTATTGGTCTTTCCTCCACTTAATTGACTATATTTCTAACCTGAGCAACCTCCATGAGAACTCAAGATTCCTATCACAAGATGGGGGCTTTGGATTTGTTAGAAGGGTAAAGTGGTCTTTAGGACCTAAAGGTCCTAGGGCTTATTTTTGTATATGTATTGAACATCATTCTATCTATATACTACTGCATTTTCCTTGTATCATGGTATCAGAGCTTGGTACCCGACCCCAACCCCAAACCTAGCCGTCGCCGGAAGAGCTTGCATCCGCCAGCGACCAGCTCGCGCCCAACTCGCGCGGGCAGCGCGCCCAACTCGGGCGAGGCTCCTGCTCGCGCGAGCCTCCAGCCGCGCGACCCAGCTCGCGCGAAGTTCCTGCTCGCGCGACCCAGCTCGAGCTCGCGCGAGCCTCCAGCCACGCGACCTAGCTCGCGCGAGGTCCCTGTTCATGAGCTGAAGTGAGTGGAGCCTCCTGCTCGCGCGACCCAGTTCGCGTGAGGTCCCTGTTCATGAGCTGAAATCAGTGACGTTCCTGCTGGACGCTGCTGATGAACCTTCTTCACCTTCGCCACCTCTAACTTGTGAAGCAAACCTGGCCTTCCTCTTCCCTCTGCTCTATTGGAGGTATTCTTCTGTTCGTGAGCTGAAGTGACTGGAAGTTTCCTCGCCATTGCTGTGAGTGGAGGTGTTGTTGTGGCTCGGTGACTCCCGGCTCTTGCAGCCACGAAATGATGCGGTAAATTTGCTTGATTAGGCCAAATATCAGAAGTTCTAGTGTCTTCATGAATATGTTGAGGTCTGAACAGGTCTGATTTCTTGGTTTTTCAGATCTTAGATTGCGGGTGATTGACTAATTGAGTTATAGTTTATCGATTGGTGGTGTTTGTGGGTCGTGGAGGCTCTTTTATGTGGTGATATATCTTCAATTGTGTTGGATTGTTATCAATTATGTTGGATTGCTGAACTGTTGAGGTTGAGATTGAGGTGCATGAGGGAAATATTGCGAGAATTCTCTTGTTGTCATTGGAGAATGGGTGATTTTGAGAAGAATAATCCTGTGATGACTGAGGTGATTTCCTCGTTGTCTAATCGAATTACTTATAGGAAGCTTGAGGGTAGTTCTAACTTCCATCAATGGAAGAAAATTGTGAAGCTTACTTTGACCGACAGGAATCAACATAGACACATAACTGAGCCTAAACACAAAGATGATGCAACTTGGGATGTAACTGATGCACGTATCCTTGGTCAAATGTTAAATTCTATGGAAAGTTATATAGTTGATCTTGTAACTCATGTTGACACGGTCAAAGAAATGTGGGAGTATTTGGATGTATTGTATTCAGGCCAAGGCCAACATCTTTATGGACCATCTCACGTGTCCACCGATAACTCAGGGGCCACACGGACTTGTCATTACTGTGGCAAACCTGGCCATATTGAGAAATTTTGTTACAAATTACATGGTAGACCAGGGCAGAAACAACAATTTGCAAATATTGCGTCTGTTACTGATTCTTCTACACGGTCTTCTAAAGGCAAGGTAGTGGTTATGTCTAATGAGGAATTTGCTCGGTACACCCAGCTTCAGATCTCACAGCCTGCTTCTTCCACTGCTACTTTGGTACAGACAGGTAATGCTACTACATGCCCTTCAGCTACTTCTCGTCCTTGGATAATTGATTCAGGGGCTACTGATCACATGTCGGGTCTTTCAAGTGTATTTTCCTCTCTTACTCCATCTTCATCCACAGTTACCATAGCCAATGGATCATTTACACATGTTAAGGGGGTTGGCACAGTTTATCCAACTACTTCATTGCCATTGTCCTCAGTGCTTTATGTGCCACAATTTCCGTTTAACCTCATGTCTGTCAGTAAATTCACTAAAAACTTCCAATGTTCAGTAACATTCTACCCTGATTCCTGTATTTTTCAGGATCTGGCTACGAAGAAGACGATTGGTAGAGGACGTGAGGTAGGGGGGATGTATGTGCTTGAAGACGCTCCTTCCATTGCATGTCCTAGTGTTGCATCCCTACATCAAATTCATTGTCGTCTGGGTCATCCTTCTCTACATAGTCTTCAGAAGTTAGATTCTAGTTTTAGGTCCCTTTCCAGTTTAGAGTGTGAGTCATGCCAGCTTGGCAAATTACATCGTATTAGTTACTCGCCACGAGTCATTAAACGAGCAGCGTCCCCGTTTTCGTTAGTTCATTCAGATATTTGGGGTCCTTGTCATGTGGTTTCCAATCTGGGTTTTAGATACTTTGTTACTTTTGTTGACGATTATTCCAGAATCACTTGGTTATATCTAATGAAAAATCGGTCAGAATTGTTTTCTATATTTCGTGCATTTATTCATGAAATTCATACACAGTTTGGTGTGCATGTTAAGGTTTTGCGTTCTGATAACGCTAAAGAGTACTTTTCTGCCCCATTTTCTGATTTTATGACTCAACATGGTATGATCCATGAATCTTCCTGTCCTGATACACCACAACAGAATGGTGTTGCTGAAAGAAAGAATAGACACTTATTGGATGTTACTAGATCCATGTTGTTTGAAATGAAGGTTCCCAAAACCTTTTGGTGTGATGCTGTTCTGACTGCATGCTATCTCATTAATCGCATGCCCTCTTCTGTTTTGCGAGGTGGTATTCCTTTTTCTACTTTATTTCCAAATGTGTCATTGTTTGTCTCACCACCCCGTATTTTTGGTTGTGTCTGTTTTATTCGTGATCATCGACCTGGAGTATCAAAACTTGATCCCAAGGCTATCAAGTGTATGTTTTTGGGTTATTCCCGTACTCAAAAGGGATATCGTTGTTATTCTCCATTACTGAGAAAATACTTTATAACTGCTGATGTTTCATTCTTTGAATCCACTCCTTATCATGATGTTCCAATTTACGTTTTCGAGTTGGATGAAGACTTCTATGTGACTATGACTACCCTTCGGTCAAGCTGCTCCAACTACTTCACCAGTCTCTACACAGGAACCACCTCCTCTCCAGGTTTATACTCGACGTCCTCGAGTGGCAACTGCTTCCCCCCTGCCTCCTGCTACTACTACGTCATCTTCTGCTCCAGATTTGCCATTAGCTGCCTCTCCTCTTGTATCTGATCTTGACCTTCCTATTGCTCATCGCAAAGGTACACGTACTTGTACTCAACACTCTATTGCAAATTTCATCTCATATTCTTCTGTGTCTCCTTCCTTTCGGTCCTTTTTATCTACTGTTGAACAATATTCTGTCCCCAAGTCTGTATCTGAGGCATTACAAAATTCTGGCTGGAGGACAGCAATGGAAGAAGAATTAATGGCTCTCGAGGTTAATCAAACTTGGGACTTGGTACCTCTTCCTTCAGGCAAAACTGCTATTGGTTGTCGTTGGGTATTTGTTGTGAAAGTCAATCCTGATGGTTCTCTTGCTCGTTTAAAAGCACGACTTGTTGCAAAAGGGTATGCTCAGGTGTATGGGGTTGACTATCTGGACACATTTTCTCCTGTTGCCAAACTTACTTCTGTTCGTATTTTGATATCCCTTGCTGCCACATATAATTGGCCCTTGTTTCAGCTTGATGTCAAGAATGCTTTCTTGCATGGTACACTTCATGAGGAAGTTTATATGGAGCAACCTCCGGGGTTTGTTGCTCAGGGGGAGTCTGGGGTTATGGTTTGCAAATTAAGAAAGTCTTTATATGGTTTGAAGCAATCCCCACGGGCATGGTTTGGAAGATTTTCTGAGGCTGTACTTTCTTTTGGATTATCTAGATGTGGAAATGATCACTCTTTCTTTTATAAACAGTCGGGGGGAGGCAAACTGTTCTTGATTGTGTATGTTGATGATATTATCATTACGGGAGATGATTTGGCTGGTATAGCTGAACTAAAAATCTATCTTCAGCAACAGTTTCAGACTAAGGACTTAGGAAAGTTGAAGTATTTCCTAGGGATTGAAGTGGCACATTCACATAAAGGTATTGTTCTGTCACAGCGAAAATATGTCTTAGATTTACTCATTGAGACAGGTATGATGGGGTCAAAGCCTCTTGATTCACCCATGGAACGAGGGGTTAAACTGGCCGCTGAGGGAGGAGAAATCCTTGATAACCCTGAGAGATATAGAAGGCTGGTAGGTAAGCTGAATTATCTCACAGTCACTCGACCAGACATTGCCTTTCCAGTTAGTGTTGTAAGCCAGTTTCTGTCTTCCCCTCGTACATCTCATTGGGATGCAGTTATTCGGATATTGAGGTACTTGAAGAAGACTCCAGGGAAAGGAATTGTTTACCGAAACCATGGTCATAGTAAAGTTGAAGGATTCTCTGATGCTGATTGGGCAGGGTCTCCAGATGATAGGAGATCAACTACTGGCTATTGTACCTTGGTTGGAGGAAATCTAGTATCATGGAAGAGTAAGAAACAGAACGTTGTTGCCCGCTCTAGTGCTGAGTCAGAATATAGAGCCATGGCACAAGTGACATGTGAATTAGTGTGGATTCAACAGTTGTTGATCGAGTTAGGCTTTAAAGCTTCAGGGCCCATGACTTTATGGTGCGACAATAAAGCTGCAGTGCATATAGCTTCCAACCCTGTATTTCATGAGAGAACAAAACACATTGAGGTTGACTGTCATTTTATTCGGGAAAAGTTGCAGAGTGGAGCGATCCTTCCTAGTCACATTCGAACCGGTGAACAACTTGCAGACATTTTTACTAAACCTTTGGGTAATGGGGGGATAGAATATATTTGTAACAAACTGGGCATGATTAATATCTATGCTCCAGTTTGAGGGGGAGTGTTAGAAGGGTAAAGTGGTCTTTAGGACCTAAAGGTCCTAGGGCTTATTTTTGTATATGTATTGAACATCATTCTATCTATATACTACTGCATTTTCCTTGTATCAGGATTCAATAAATTTTGGCAGAAAAGTTCTGTAATTCTTCATTTTTAGATTCCACATACAAGCCCAACGTACCCCAATCTATACATAACCCAGAAAAGTTATGTACGTCAGCCACTCCTGATGATTGATGGGAGTCTAACGATTGCACTGTGCAAAAGTTTCATGGTTTTGCTCAGTGAAAAACAATGTGTGCCAATAAATAAATGTAATACCCCAACTTGATTCCAGGATATGTCCTGTAACACCCTGAATCCAGGGAACACAAATACATAGCAAATAAAATTCATGCCTCAGATTTATAACACCACCACCAACCTCAATGAGAGATGATAGTAATAAGCTTGAAACTATCAACTGGCTAATTGGATGCTAAATGAGATTTTAAAGCTATAAAAAAGTTCCAAAAACCTAAAAGAATTAACCATACCAAGATTAGATGCTAAATGAGATTAAACAAAGATCATTGCACTTAAAAACCAACCTGGGACTCCTTGGTTGCACCAGTAATAACAGATGAGACGTTAGGATTTGCAGCACACCACGCAATAGCAAGCTGAGCTAATGGCACCCCAAGTTCATCCGCAATTGGTTTCAGTCCATTGACCTTCCTCAGCACATCATCAACCAAGGAACGACTAGCAAGATTCTAAGATAAAAAGAAGCATTAATTCTCATATTGTCTTGAAGTGAAGCATTATCAAACAACAAACTGGAAGGCTGAAAAGTTAAAATTTAGACTGCCGCTGGCGAGATTAAATATATATCATGCATCATCTTAAAAAATAAGTAAGGGCCACATATCTTCCAAGATTGTACAGAATAAACAATTACCGCATTTTTTTGGGCCAATAACAATAATGTTGGGTCTTGCAAAATCAGCATCCATCAGTGCAGGTATCTTTCCCATAAATATCATCTTAAACAATAGTGAATTGCAGATATACCGCATTGTCTTAAATAAATAACTAGAGCAGATGTATTGCTGTAATTATTCAGAATAAACAGGAAAGGAAAGTAGAACTACAAATATTTTATAAACCATGGGAAGTTTTAAAATAGCACAATAAGCGTATAAATTGCTGACCTTCATACCAAGAGCCTAAAGTTTCTCATAAACAAAACTGAAGCAATGATCATTCACAAAACCAATTATCGATCTTTTTTCCCAAGTTGAATGGTTCGTAAGTCAATGAGGACCAGGCATATGGTATCTAATAATCTGTCACTTAAAAGAAAGTAATGAGAAGGCTCATCCAAATTATCAGATTATCAAAGCAGAGTACATGGAAGGCCAACATCATTTTCTCCTTTATCCTATTAAGTACACTAGCATGGTGATGGATGAAAGATTTATCTAATCAAACAACATAAGAATAGAGGGCACCGAGTTGTACATTGCTCCTGGGGCAGGGGAACATCAATGCAGAAGTTAGTCAAGAAGAACACCCAAAATGGATCATTCCACTCTATAGTTTCCAAGTCCCATAAGAATCTTATTTAGCCACCCCATTTTGAAGGAAATCTTGATAATCAGAATTGTCTTTCAAAGAAACTTACTTTATAGTTTTCCAGAGCAAAGCGGCTATCAGGAGGTATAGTTCCCTTGTTGTATTTCCCGGTGAGCACTCCAGAAGAAAGTGGACTCCACGTAGTCAGACCCAAGCCATAGTTGGTATAGAGGGGTAGATATTCAGACTCGACCTGCATCCAGTATTCAGATTATAAATCAGAACCAAGACAACCAATATAAATATGTCCTTTCTTATACTTTCATATGTGACCAAAGCACGATATCAAACTCAACTTGGAGCATTTCCTTTGCCAGAACTGCACAAAAGTCCCCTTTTGACATTGCCACCCAATTTTTCTTACTCTAAGTTGGACAACCGTTTTTTTTTTTTTTTTTTGTTGACATAAGCCAATCCAACAGAGTACCAATCTTTTTTTTTCTTTTTGCAAGTTTGGCAAGTAAATTTACTAGTGAACACCACAGGGGAGCCTCCCATTCACAAACCAAGAAAATAGACAAAGTATACACTGTTGCTAGACCATCCCAAAACTATTAAATCACATGTCAATGTGTAACACTTGATTCAAGAAAAAGAATCATCTTAGGCTGCAAATGTATCGCAAGTACATGACATTAAAGGATTAAATGAACTCATATGATGTACTTCTTAACTATTACATGAGAAAAATTAATAAACCAGCATGAGGTTACAGAGGACTATGCATTGAACAAATGCCATAGCAGCTGGCTAAACCCAATGATCTTAACCTGGTACTTATTCCTTTCACTTAACTTGAATAAAATGACAAGGCAAGCATGATCATGCCTCCCTTCCATGCAGTTTAAGAACAAAAAGGTGCTCATTGACAGCATCTGAGCAACATAGACCAAAACTAATTTAAGGCGACGAACAGATCGTGAATGTCACAACTGGGAATAAGAAAAGGCATCCACAGAGCTTCAACTACTGCAACCGCACAGAAAGCTATTGTCGAAGTGGGAATAAAGGTGTCCCGCTGCCATTACCAATACCATGATTGTCTCGGGAGGTAATTACTGTGGCTGTTGAAATGGAGGAGCAAGACTGCTTACTCAGCTCCAAAGCTGAGAGGGTTCTCATCTACAATTTCTGTAGAGGACAGTCACTAATTGTTTTGCCAACTGGCTGAAGTGAGAACCCAAAAGCATTGGTGTTTTCCCTTTTCCATGTTACACGGCATATTTCTAATTTCAAAGCAGAGTATGGACTCGAGAAATTTAAAACTAGTAAAATGACAGCCACCATATTTTGTCAGTCTTTCATCAGCTTTGGCCCTCTCGAAAGAACAGCTTTTCATCAGCAGATGCAGAGGGTTCATTTTTTCTCGCATTTTCTAAACCACTCAAAATGTTGACCAACAAATTAGAACTACAAAAAAAAAAAGACAACCACAAACTTAACAATCTCTTCATTTGAAGATGCCCAGAGTTCAAATTTCTCACATTGTGCAGAGCATTCAGAGCAAAGGGAAGTGAGGTATCAAAGTACAACAATATCATACTAACAATCAAAAGCAGAATCTAACTTGAATCATGTCCTGACGGAAAAATGCCAAGCGATATTGAAACACAGACTTCATGTTCAAAAGAGCAAACAGCATCCCAAACTTCCAGCGGTAACGTGCACCAAGAACACTCACCTTATGTCTAGAGAATAAGTTGTACTCTGGCTGCTCCACAATCGGCCCCACCATATCCAACCTCTGTGCAATCCCCCAAGCCTCAGTAATCTGCTGTGCCGACCATTCGCTAGTTCCCCAGTAAAAGGCCCACCCTTTGTCAATGACATAGTTCATTGCTCTAACCGTCTCTTCAATAGGCGTGGAAGAATCAGGCCTGCATTAAAAACCCATTCACGTGAAAACCAACTCACCATCACCAAAATGTGAACTGTATGAACTACACAGTCAATTCTATTTCTATCAGGAGAACAGTAAAGTCGAGCAACCAAAAAGCAAGATCAAATCCCAATCAAACCATCGAAAGATCAACGCATTCAGACGAGAGGAATTGAATAATACAAAATCAGAACCGACCACATCTTTTGCAATGATCTTCAACCTGAACAAAACCATATTCCTCACCTTTCGGAGCTAAAAAGACAGCTGATATAAGCAAAAACTCATTCCACGTGCACAGCTCAAATGGAGCCAAAAAAAAAAACTAACTTTACCACCAGAGAGATCGAGTATAAAATCCGACTACGAAAACCGACTGATCAATTCTTGCACGAGAAAGCAACAAAATCAAACCACAAAACGCAGGGAGATCGGAAGCCTCCAAACGCAATCGACCCAACAAAATCAAACACCGAGCAAGCACACCTGTGGCTATAGATCACATCGACGTAGTCCATGTCGAGCCTCTTGAGCGAGGCCTTGGTGCCCTCGACGACGTGCTTCCGGGACAAGCCCTTGTCGTTGGGGCCGGGGCCGCCCCAGAAGATCTTGGTGGAGACGACGATGTCGGATCGCCGCCAGCCGAGCTCCCGGATGGCCTGGCCCATGATCTCCTCGGCGCGGCCGTTGGCGTAGACCTCGGCGTTGTCGAAGAAGTTGACGCCGTGGTCGCGGCAGCACTGGAGGAGCGACTTGGCCTCCTTCACGTCCAGCTGGTTCCCGAAGCTCACCCACGCCCCGTACGAGAACTGGCTCACCTTCAGCCCCGACCGCCCCAAGTTGTTATACTGCATCTTCAACCCCCGGCGACCGACCCACCGACAGAGCGGTTCCTTCCGGCGGGCGAGCGGTTCCTTCCGGCGAGCTCCGATGCGAGCGAGCGAGCGATCGAACGGAGAGACGCAGAGAGAGAGAGAGAAGGTGAGCGATTTGAGACAGCGGAGACGCCTCCCTTTTATACTCGGAGTTAATCGAGTAATTAAAATAAATAATTTCTGTCCCAATCAATAAATGCGCGAGCTCCATGCACGCCGGAAGAAAAAAAGAAAACGTGAATACGTCAAGAAACAAATTATTTAAATATTCGAAATAAGTGCGTTAAAAGCTCTAAAACTTGATCGTAAAATTTTAAAAAAGTGCAATCAATCCAAAAACTTGTCAAACCGGTCCAATCAATTCTTTTTCTTTGGTTGCATGTTTTGACAAGTTTTATGACTCGATTGCATTTTCATGATAAGTTTTAGGACTTGATTGTACTTTCATGACAAGTTTTAAGATTTAATTATGCTTTTAGAAAATGAATTTAAATGGTTGTTAAAATGAAAAAAAAATAAAATATATGTGTGTGTGTAATTGCTAATCGTGAGAGATTTAATGATTCGCACTAGAGGTGAGCATGGTTCCAAGGTAGAACTTGAAACCTGAGAACTTGACCGGTGAGAATCTGTAAGTTCCAGATTTTAAGGTATGCAGGGTAGGTTCCAGATTCCAAAAACTGAGGAACCTTTTTTGACGATTAGGTTCTAGGTTCTAGGTAGGTGGAACTTAGAACCTAGAACTTGAAACCGGGAACCTGAAAACTAAACAAGTTTTTTGTGTTTTTTCTTTATCTATGTATTCACGTGATCCTGCTGTGTTTAATGGCGTTAGATGATGAGTATATAATTTGGAACCACTAGTCTGAGCTTTTCATTTTATGACTTGTTAATGTTTCATATTTTCGTGTGTCTAAATATAAGTTGTAGTCAGTTGATCATAGTAGCAAGTGATGGTCATTAATGGTGATGATTCATTGTAATTGTCAATTAATAATACATGTGGAACCTGGGTAGACCCTGAAACCTGTGATAGGGTAGATTCCAGGTTCAAAAAATCATGAACCTATTCTCATTGATAGGTTCCAGATTCCAAGTCAAAACCTATACAGAGCATGGAATCGCTCACCCTTGGTATCGATTCACGTAATGATTTCTCATTTTAATTGTATTTATTTAAATCGTAATGTTAGGAAAACTAATCTTTTGTATTTTTTTTTATGAATGGCAAGCCTGTTCAGTATTATTGCGATCATTTTCGTTTTGTTTGACTAAAAATGAAATTAAAAAAAAAAAGAACCCGTTAGACCCTGAAATCTATCATTTCAGATTCTAGATCTAACGGGTAAGTTTCAAATTTCAAAAAAAATGAGAAATCTATACTCGATTATAAATTCCACGTTCCGGATAAAATATATAAGGAACTTGAAACTGGTCGTCCTAATTTGCACGAGCGGTCACAACTTATGCGCGTCCGACGCTAGGGAGGAGATCTTTCGGCTCTGCGCGCGCGCGCTCTGCGCTTTGTGTTCGTCGCCGGTCGTCGTGGGTGGGTGGGGGGGGAGAATCCTAAGGATGGCGTGGGGCGCCCGCCAGGTGTACGGCGACGGGGGGGAGTACGGGAGTGGACGGTCGAGAGTGGCGCGCGGTGGGGCGGTCGCACGTGAGAAACGAAACTGGATCTGTCAGGGGCTAGGAGGGGAGAGAGGGACTCTAGGGGTTGGATGCTACTGTGCTATGCTAGAGCTTTTCTCCTTTGTACTTTTCTGGGACTAGGCGCACAGCTGGCGGTCGGTCTTTTGGAAATAAATAATTTCATCTTTTTTTTCCCTTTTCTTCTTTTTTTAGTAATTATTGCTTCCATTTTCTTTGCTTGTTGTACAAGGATTTCACCGTGATGGGGGTGGGGGCAATGCGTCCCGAGCCCCACGGGGAAAGTGACATGAATTTGACCTTTTCGAAGTGGGAAAACGAGGATTTTGGGCGGCTGCCTTCTTTTGGAAATATCGAAAGGATAATAAAACAAGCAGTTTCTGCACTTTGATATGATATTTGATCTAATCCACGATCTCTAGATTTTTTATAAATGTTCAATTTAATCTCCGAACTATTTGAAAATGTTGAACTTTTAATATGAACTCTGAATTTTTAGTAGATGTTTAATTTAGTTCTCGAACTATTTGAAAATGTTCGCACATTTTTCAAATAGTTCGAGAACTAAAATTGAAATGCAAACATTTTCAAATTGTTATATGGATGTCAATTCGATCTTAATTTTTTTAACTTTGCCAATGCAAACATTTTCAAATTATTAAATTGTTAATAATAATTGTTTGTGTCATTATCCCTATCAGGAATGATTCTAAACTCGTTATATGGATGTCGATTCGATCTTAAATTTTTTAACTTTGCCAATGTAATTCTAAAATTTTTCCACGGAACTCCAATGTAGCCCTTTTTCGGTCATATACTGCCGAAAATCACTGACATCAAGGGAAATTGTCCACGTCGACGTGCTGCGTAGAACGGTCAGGCGATTTCCAACAACTCGTCACGTCGGTAATTTTTCGCGATAATTAGCCGGAAGGATTATCTAGGGATAATCACGGATCCTTCGACCATGTTTGTTAAAATGCATTTAAAGAAAATCTTTAAAAATTATGAAACTCGATACGTGATTTTATTTTATTTTTTTCCAGCGTGGCAGGGTGGTGTCTGCCGCTTGGACTTGTGAGTGTGACTGGAAGAGCAAAGATTGCACGTGTGGATGGCGTGGACGTGTATAGGAGAGATGAATGACGTGGTACGATAGAGGATGACGACATCGATGGGAAAATGATTTTAATATTTATTTTTGAGTTTTTATGTAGTACGACGTTAACCAGTTTTTTTTTTCTTGGTCGGAACATTAATTAACCAGTTTAATTGGATATATTTTATAAACCAAGTCGCTTTTGCTTTATACATACTAGAGGGATGTCAATATCACCTCTTGTAAAAGTTATTTCAAATAACGTTTTCTAATATAACACATACAATTAAAATAATATAACTTTTATGTCATCAGTCCGATGCGGCCTAGAAGATAACCAACCGATGACGTGAACGTTAAGCATCTTAAGTAATATGACTGGCGCTGATGGGGATAATTTTTTTGAATTTTTAAATGTGTTTTTTTTTTAAAATTTATTGATTTTTTTTCTTTTCTTTCTTTCTTCTTTTTTTTACACAAAGCCAATGGAGGGCCACCGGCCACCGGGTGAGGGCTAGTTATGACATCCAAAATTTTCTTTGTAGTTAATATTATTTAAGATATTAAGTTAAAATTTTCTTTGTAGTTAATATTATTTAAGATATTAAGTTAGTGAGAGTCATTGAAAAAAATAATATTAGTATAGTAATTATCAACGGGGACCAATACGCTCCTGAATACGTATCGAATAATTTCAAATGTTAAAATTTTTATTGAGTTTAGGTGCCCCTATTGTTCTATACCTTTTGTTATCAATTTTAGTGGTTTTAAAATAATTTTCTAATTATTTCAAACGAATACCGATTTCCCTGTGTATTTATCACAATGTAAAGCATCATTTCAAAATAACCTAATATCTCCATCTTTTTAATCAAACTATATCATCTGTCACCATTTCAGCTTGAATATATGTCTTAATTCTCACCTTATTATTGCCCAAATGCTCTTATTGAAGACATTGAACCTAGCTCTTGATGATCTCATGCATGACATATAATTATTTTAACACTAGTAACTTTATATCTACTATTAAGTCTAGTTAATTTTTTTTTGGTCGGTCCTACTCTATCTCTCACTCACGATACACACTCAGACTTGCGCAACTCAAGCTAATAAATATGACTTCAAATTATTCTTGGGAAAATGACACAAATGATCAATGAACTTGGGCCAAATAAGTAACGTGATCCCTTAACTTTTAATTTGTTCAACGTGGTCCATGAACTTTTAATTTCATTTAACATGAGTTGTCGATGTTCGCGTTGTCAACTATTTGAGTTGTCGATGTGGCATCGATTATTTGGATGTCAACGTTCACGTCATCGATTCTTTAAGAATACTATCATTAATTACATGAGAAATGAAAAGAGATAAGTGAGTTATTACTATTTATGTAATTGATTCATGGAAAAGACATGTCAATTGTATTTTGGTGATGATTTAAATAAAATGATGTCGTATACCGAATGTTAATTTGAGAATGGATATGTAAGAAATTATAAGTAGGTGTCGAATTTATTGTTGATGTAAGGGAGGAACATGACAAGATTTGAGCGTCATTACGTGCACTAATGCATGTGATCAAATATGAAAATTATGATGAAATTATTTCCGTCACACACATAATGGTGGCGACGATGCCTCAGAGTTGGGATGCCCGTGTGTTAGGATGCCAGTGTGTTGGAATGCTCTATGAGTTTCGAGATGCATCGAGAGTCGAGATGCCTCATGTGTCCGGATGAAATTGAATAATGAATACGATGCATGTCTACGTGCGCACATGTCTATGAACGAAGTAATTGATGATAACCGTGCATCCCAATATGTTTTTTCATCCTCTTGCATTGAGTGAACCATTTATATATCATTGTTCATCGATTTTCATTGGCATAGTATGATAGGAAGAATTATACATTCATTCATTTTATTGCCCCTCGTATACCTTGTCGTTGGCTTGATCTAACCTTACTTTGTGGATACGAGGTTGAGTAGTGAGATGATTAGAGATTTCATTTATTGGGCTTTGGCTCATTCGTTATTTTTCATATATGTAGGATGGATCTCCCACCGCCACTGCTTTTTTGAGATCCCATGCATTTTGATTATGTTTATGAAAATATGGTTATACCTAGATCATTGGTCTATATGGATTGACGTAGGGCTTTTTTAGAGTGGATTTTCCATCAATTTGTTGTTTGATACATGAACATCGAGGGTGAATTGGTTGGCCTGTCAAGGGATTTTGATGGTGACGACGACGAGTCGATGGGTAAAGTTGTCGACCCGTAGCAGATAGATTGACTTT